GTAAAATTTAGATTTCGGGGCTCTAGTTCAATTATGTCTGGTCCAGCTGCTGGGTATGTGGGTATTACGATATCTTCTGACATCACCTGCCAGGAAACGCCCGTAATTGGATTCGACATGGGTGGAACCTCAACGGATGTCTGTCGATATGCCGGTCGATTCGAGCATGTGTTTGAAACAACTATTGCAGGAATCAGCATTCAGTCACCAATGGTATCGTGTTTTAGTTAGTGGATAACTCTAACCGTTTTCTTCAGCTGGATATACGCACCGTTGCTGCGGGAGGTGGATCAAGATTGTTTTTCAAGAACGGGCTGTTTGTTGTTGGCCCCGAATCATCCGGAGCACATCCTGGGCCGCTTTGCTACAGAAACGGTGAATATTACTAACAAAGGCAGATGTTAGAGTTCTGGAAATGTTTCCCTACATTTTTTCGTTTCTGTTCGCTAATCAGCTTTTAGATTTACGAGAAAGATTCCAAACTGCAAAACTCTGCTCAGCTTCCTAAGTTGGCATATTGTTCTCATTCAGCAGAGTTTGCGAAGAAGTTTACTAGCATATCTTTGAACCATATTGAGTTGACGTACCATACCAAAGGTTTTGAGCAAATACTGACTTTCGTGCTGTAATAGACATGTTTACGGCTAAAACCGTCTCTATAGAAGTGGATTTGGAGAAAAAGTTAACAATTTTTCTTTAACGAAATTGTTTTGAAGCTGATTTTGAAGTAATTGACATGTTCAGTTTCAGAATTATTTATTTATTCAAATGAATTAGAAATGGATTATTTTATTCGTGTTGGTGGTCATAGTATCACTTGATAAACCAGCTGTTGTATTGAGTTGGTTTGAGAAACAGTTTCTATCCTGTTTTTACTGATACAGTAAACTAAGAATCACCGCTTGATAGTAAGCGACATTATTTACGGATCCTTCTTTGTATTTTCAGGGATTACCACTGCCTATGTTCGATACCCGCGCTTGCCTCTTTCGTATAATTTGTCAGCACAAACTTCCGTCGTTCCATTTGAGCTGAGATTTTACGATTTGGCGTTTGCAATCGTTTGACCAACAGTCGGTTCTCATTGAAGCCGATCCATCGTCCGTCAGTTTTATGATTTGACCTGCCAACTGTCGTTTTCTGTCTTGTGAATCAGACACAACATCCTGCGTTCCTGTGCGACTTCTTATTTCTCCATTTCGCAGCTTATCTATAGTGGATGTTTCTTGCATTTTTTTTCGATGGCCCTCTGCTGCAATCTTACTAGTTCT